AAATCTGTAATGGAACTTTTTGGTCTCCAGAGGATTTACTGAACTTTGGGATTGAGTGTGCAGACTCTGACACCTAGAGGCAAAAGCACTTGGCTGGATTCCCCGATTCTCTGACATGCAATAAATCACCATTTGTGAAAGCAGAGGAGCAAAGGGACACAAGGGGTCATAGCAGCCTACCATCAGTGCCTTCAGTGCACATCATATGAGTCAGCCCCTCAGTTGTATTCTTCCCAATGGCAAAGCAGATTGTCCTCTTTGCCTCCTGGATGTGGCCTCTCACCTGTCCAAACGGAAGACATTTTACAGCAGTGACTTACAGTGGCACATTGGTTGGTTTGTTAGATTTGTTATCCTGCCTTTCCTCCAAGAACTCAAGCCAGCATACATCATCCTCTCATTTTTCCCTCAACAACCATGTGGTGTAGGCTGGGCTAGGAGGGTGGAAGTAGCCCAGAATTCGTAGACGATCTGGATGTCCCCCTCCTATTCCAGCAGCCTCACCATTACCCCACCCTGGCTATATGAAATGTCATCACTGCTGTTAAGAACAATACAAGGTAATACAAAATCATATCTGTAGAAATGAGAAATCAGTATGATGTGTGTAAGTCTACAGAACTAGAGAATCTGAATTTTATTCATTCGTTCGTTCAGTTTATATAGCTGCCCGTCTGATATTCATGACTCTGAGCAGCTTACAATTAAAACATAAGCAGTACCAAAACAACAAAAAATAAAGCAACAATTAAAAACCACACAGTACAGTCACCAAGAGAGTACAGTCAGTCAAGAACAGTACAGCCATTTTATGGGCTCCACACTCTTTGATCCCCAGGCCAGGTGGCAAAGCCAGCTCTTCAGACCCTTCCGGAAGGCCATTAAGGTCACAGCTAGCCTGTCCTTGGGCAGAATGATGTTTCATGGGGTGGCTGCAGCAGCAGAAAAGGCCCTCCTCCTGGCTCCTATAAGATGACATTCTCTAGTGGATGGAACCCACAATGAGCCTCTTCTGCCAGAGCTGATGAGACAGGTAGATGTCACTGGAGAGAGGTGGTCCCTCAAACAGTCCAGCCCCATGGCACATAGGTTATCACCAGTACCTTGAACTGGACCCAGAAGCAAATTGGTAACTAATGCAGTCATGGAGCAGAGGCGTAACATGCGCAGGCTAGGTGCACATGTAACTGCCCGCAACGCTGCATTTTGCACCAACTGACATTTCCAAATACTCTTCAAGGGCAGCCCCAAGTAGAGTGCAGTAATCTATACAGGAGGCAACCAGGGCATGAGTGACCAACCATAGAGTCTCCTGATCCAGGACTCCCAGATTGCAGCCAGGTCTGTCTAGGAACTGCAACCCCATCCAGAACCAAAGACAGTAAATTCCCAGATCCAAGTGGTCCCTGAATCCAAAGCCACTCAGTGTTGCCAGGGATGAGCCGAAGCCTGCTGTTCCCCATCCAAACCCCTACAGCCTCCAGACACCAAGACAGGATATTGGCAGCACTGCTTACTTCACCAAGGGCAGAGATATATAGCTAGGTATCATACCCCATGGCTATGGATGACATGGCAGCACCATGCCCTCTCTCAGAGAAGAATTTACCACTGCTGAAACCCAGCCACGTCACATCCCTGGAAGTTTTTACCAACCAAGAAAGGCATGGATTTTAGCCTCCTTTACATCAGAACTTCCCTTATTATATGAAACATTTTTTCTTATCTCCTGAACAGACTACTACTCAGCAACGTCCATCCCCTTCATTCAAAATGTAAGCATTCAGAAAGGTTTTCATTTCCATCTACAACCCAGAAAACACTGCGGTCTGTCTGTCATATAGAAACCCCAAATTGATCACTGTCTTTAATATAATGGAAAGAACAAGAGTAGTTTACCAATGCAAGGTAGGCCTTGGCGACTGTCCGATTCTTGAAACACTTGTA